AAATGAATTTTTCTGATACAAATAGGTACAGCCAAAACTGGTTGGATTTTATCTTCTTCATTTAAAATGTTCTTTTTCTATTCTTGTTTTCATTGTTCATTGTTTCAAATATTCTAAAAAGGAAGCATTAAAATGATAATATTCATTATTGTAAGAATGGAAGGTATTTGTCACTTGTCACTTTTCCAAATAAATTATATAATACACTATATTCAAATCTTCAGTATCTGAACTGATACGAAGACGCGATTGGAATAAGAAAAATTCGAAGAGATTGTTTCGATGATGAAATAGCATCTTTGAACGAATAACATCCTATCACCTAACTTCCGTAGCAATTCGTTTTAATAATTTCCAAAAATAATTGATTTATCGCAAATGGCTATTAAACTTTGAATACATGTGAATCAAAGTACTGCAGTCTAATGTAAGAAGTTAAGGACACGTGTAGCTTCTCGCCTCCGTATACGTAAACTATTATATATGCATAAACATTGAAATTATATCGAAAATATACGAAATTCAGAAACAATAGTTTGAAAAAGCAAGCAGAAACTTCTTTCTCTTGAAGCAAGAAATAAAAATACGAGAAATAAAACATAGAGATAATGACAATAGTAATACGTATTCGTACAAATGTAGATTTAGAAAATTGTTACTACAAACAACAGGAAGTATCAACCAATCAACAACAAGTAGTCGATAAAACCGCATACCTTTTCCAACCTAAATCTCGCAAGACAAAAGACAACGGCAAAATCCTGCAGCATCGTGCGAATCTGCATACCGAACCCATAACCTTTAGCCCGTCGGTCTATAAATTATCGGGAACTAAGAGGGAATCGTAGTCAAGACGACGCTGCGGTTCGATGCAGTGGGAGCAACCGGCGATTCAACAGGCAGCTTGGGGCGGAAACGAAAGAAGCGAACGGAAGGAAACAACGAACAGCCAACGGGCCCGTGGCGTAGCAAGCGTAGCGAAAATTAATCCAATCGGGCGCGCGGAAAATCAATTCGATGATAAATCTTCCATCGAATCGTAAATAACGGCGCGCCACGATCCCGCCAGATAGTCTTGCTTGAGACCATGGCGCGACAAAGAAATATGACGACCAACACTGGAGCTTATTTATCGAGAAAAACGGGACGTGAATGGGTGTACCGGGTTTCTTTGCTTGATCCACCGTGCCACGGGAATTCATCGACACGGTCCTTTTACATTTTTCCAAGCCCTTTTCCCAACCGTCCAGCATCCCCGCTCTCATTCACTCTTATTCACCGATCTCGAGCGGAACCGGTTCCACCGGCTTCGTCGTACTTCCGGCTATTTCACGAGTCTGCTCGTAAACTTTTTACTACGATCCTCCGTACAATATGCTCGGAACAATCTGGAGACGGCAGCACCACGACATCCACCTCCTCGTACCCTAGCCGTTTATTCCTCTCGCTTCTCCTCTTCGACTTCGCAATTGACGTCGAAACGATAGAACGACCGTCTCTGTCTTCACGAATTTAGAATTTAGAATGACAAGAACTTGGTAAAGTGAGTATCCTGCCGGTTACGAGTATAGAAATACTTGGAGTAGTATTGATTCCGAGAACGTCCAGAGGGTGGTGATACAACGAGATGGAGCACCACCAGCATCGGATAGCGTTATTTATGATTCCGTTGCGGCGTTATATTTATCTCTTTTCAGCAGGCCATCGATCCTTCGATTTTCGGAAAGCAAACGGCCACAGGCTCTATTCATGCTCAGGATTCAAGCAGATCGTCCTGTGTTTTCTACGTTTCGAGTTCTCTTGTTCATTGCACATCGTTTCTGCAACTTGGTTTAGCTTGTTATGAAATTATATACACGGAGAAACCATACGTACGTTTAAATGTAAATTGTACTCGTGTGCAATTAAAATTTAAATCTTATTAAGGTTGTTTTTTTAATATACTAGCTTAGATTTAATTAAAGACCCTTCTATAATGTTCTATACTGAGTTTAAGTCAGAATAATCCGCTCGGTTTTTAATTGTTTGGTCTGTTCGAAAGGAAATTAACACGGATATTATGCAGATATTATAATTATTACAGAATAGAGTGGATATTACAATTATCACAGAATTAATACAGATATCATAAAGCGAGAAATTCTTGATAGATTAACGAGCATGGATTTTCTCGACAGATACATTACGCTCAGGTACAGCTACTCGTATAAAAAATTCTTGTTCATTAAATAGAAACGTATCAACTTAAGTCAAATTAAAAAGCGTTTTTAGGGAAAGAGCAACTACTATTTATATAATTGTTTGCAAATATATGAATTCCAATATTCGTTAAGTTCTCAAACTATTCTAAGAATTATCCTAAAGGATCGATTCCAACTGTCCAAATTTCGGAATCTCCAAAGTTTACAGTTTCAATGAAAAACATACAATCCAGATTAAACAGCCATAAAATCGATCAAAATGAAAATATTTGCAATCCGTGTGCAATTTTACTTCTCAAACTTCGACAAATATTTTTATTTGACTCTTCTGCCTTTATCTTGAAAAGAACATCGAGACGCGAAAATTCGTTAATTCAAAGTAAACATTTCATTCGATCTGTTGATTAAACATGGAAACAGAAAAAGAATGGAAATTTTTCACCTAGAATACACAAAAATCTTACAGTTGAGTTGTAGATACCGATGCAAGAAGTGTTTTAGGATGCTCGTTATGTTAATGAGTGACTAGTTCTGAACAAGTAACGCTAATAGGTAACGGATGTTCTCGTTACCGCTCGTTCTCCGAGAAAGTAAATCGTTATGGCAGCTAACTAATTTAATTCGTTTACTAGGTCACTGATTCGTAAGAAAAATTGGCAAGAGCTATGGATTTTTTTACACCGGCTTTTCTTTTCTCCTTTATTATTTTCTCCAATTAAAAGTCCGCTTTTTATCGATACAATACGGAATGGCGAGCGTGATTGAAAGCTTAAAGCACACGGAATTAAACGGCCTGACTAAACGTGGAATTATCGTGCTGAGATTTTTGTTCGTGATAGGCGGCCGCGATTGAAGGTTGAAAATAATTTCGAAATTTTATCCTTTGAGCAATTGTATGTTCAATTTTATATAAATGCTGTTTGAAGGGATAAAAATGTTTTAAATGTACATGATTTAACGTTATATGAAAGATAATGAAATATGGAGAATGTAAAATGACGTTGTAGAAGCAGAGCGCTAAATGTGAAGTGGGTATCTTCCTTTTTCAGCGTTTTTTCGCATGACCTGAGACCTATTAAAATAAAAAAATTTTTAATACCAGGGACAGATACTAAAGAACATGTAATTCAAGTTTCCATGTAAAATCATAAAAAAAGTTACGTGAACAATTTATCAATATATTTTTTAATTCTTTAAACTTCGCCTATTAATAAGAACTTTGTTTTCAAGAATAACATCTTTTTTTATAGATTATGGAAAAATGAAATTTATTCACTCTAAGTACAGTAGATGACATAAAATTTCAGGATTATAATATTTATAACCAGTTTCAAAACTAGTAACGAGAACTATCGTTTCTTGTAAATTAAGAATCATTACAAACCGATAGACAAACGTTTGAAAATGTACACTGCTCAAGAATATTAGCCATTTAAATCCAATATTTGCCACGTACGAATAATTCTCTCCGGTCGCTGTGAATAATTTTACACAAAATATTCTAAACACTCGGCATAATCAAACACTTTCGTGGCTATACGATATATCTATATCAATATCCATCGAACAATCAGTTCATTATACAGTGTCTATTGATCAATTATTACAGGACTGCATCCTGGAGGATGGATCGATAAGCAGTTTAACGCGTATTATTTTCCGTGTCTGAAGGTTCGACGACGTAGCTCGTCGTTGCATAAATGAAAGACAGTTCAAGGGGATGAGGTAAATCGTCACGTAGCTGAAGAGCCATATCGAATGAAATTTGCAATGGAAATTTAATCTGCCTCGGTTTGTACCGAAGAGTACTGGCTGCTATTCCTTCTTAACACCACCCGTCTTTATGTCTCGCGGAATTTTCAACGGGAAAATAACAGACAGGGTGACGAACAGAAATTATCGTTGCTCGCAAGAACCTCTATCAATGGTTCGGGAAAATGCAGTGGGAAAGCTCGAGTGGGAAACAGGTTTAGCGGAATATTTTATTTAAACCGCGGAAAGATATGCGGGGACCAATCGATTCCGACGAAATCGCTCCAGGTGGTTATTCGAACTGAAAAAGCTTTCTCGCGTGTTTCATTCGAACAGAGAAAGGTAATCAATTTCGTTGAAATACCCGAGTATATACGAATAACCTGCGCCATTTGCTAGATGAAGGCCGACTCTGCTAACTCGTGAACTTTTTCTAAATCAAATGTCGACGAAAAATACGCTCGATGAAACAAATTACGAAAGTATAATTTATTAGAATATCAGATTAGTCAACGAAGCATGAATCTGCTATGTTTGATGTAAAATTCATAAACGCATATCGCGAATGGGCGGACGCACTGGTTCCTAAAAATTTTATAAATTTCATGCGAAGCTAAAAAGAAAAAAAAGTACATGGTACAGAATTGAGCGTGATATCGTTGGTTCACGACATGTGGACGAGTAGCCTCGTACTTGAACCGTCAACCACATAAAAAAACAACGTTGACCAAGGTTACATATGTACTTTGTACGCTACTGTTCAGAAGTGCCTATACTGTTGCATATTTTTGACACAGGACTCTTTGTAATTACAAAGTTACAAATAAGACCACTAAACGTCTTCTTTCGAGACGTTCTCTCGCGGTATCGCAGCTTTCGTTTTGTCTGGAACGTCAGAAAAGTCCACTCGTGCGCAGCCAATTCAGTTAATTTCATCTCGCGAGCGAAGAAGACGATTTTGCGCTGCTTGCCTTTCTGGATCGTGGCACCCGCCTGCTCCAGTTGCGCTGGTCGCTTCTTTATCATCCTTTTCGGCCTGTTTCTTTCCCTTTCATTGTCGCGCACTATTCGATGTTGTTCGGAGAAATTCCTCTTGAGGTCTCTTTTTGCCAAGATCGTCGCACCTTCGCGAGCTCAACGAACCTTTGGTAAGAGAAAAAGTGGCAGAACAGAGAGAAAATGAAATTGCCTTGAGTCTAGATCCTAGAGATTGATTCTGAGAACAGGTTCAGAATTAAACGAAGATGATTGCTTGCGGTTGAGTATCGGGACGGACTCTGGCTGTCCTTGAAATACATTGCCGCCTAGAGATTAAGGCTGGTTCAGACAATATTCAATAGTTTAGTCAAATAAGAAATAAAGCTGAATTTACACCATTCACCTTGGAGAATCATTGCGGATGGAACGAGGAGGACGACAATGATGTTTTTCGATGAATCATCCATTGTGAAACCACACAGTGTAAATTCGGTTTTATTTGCTACTTGACTAAACTACTGGCCATATCTGAAACAGCTTTTGTCACAAAAGTAGCTGCATAAAATTTACGAATTTATTCTACTAGTTTGGGAATTGAAGAAAATTAAAAAATGTAAAATTAAAAAATGACATCTTTTCCTGTATCATACACACGTTAAATTTTCCTCTCGCTCTTCTCTATATGCTTGTTCCTGGAACATTTACGAGAGTTAAGTTTAAGTGGGCATAATTATCAATTGTAACGTTAAGGTTTATACACATCGGTACGAAAGAACAGCAAATTTTAAATGTAGAACACAATGATAAATCAAATATTAAATATTTACAAACTAAATTAATTCTATTATAAAAACTTGTATCATAATTATTCAAAACATACAGGAACGTAAAAGAACATACTAAAGTAGCTAACACAGAAGTTTCTCTTCTTATCCAATTTACACGTGGACACGTTATACTTCACATAGTCTCCAGCACCGGCAGGAACATCTGTCGTGTTAGCTATAAAGTCATAACTAGACTGAGAATTTTTATGTGTTTATACGAAATTTGTAGATGCAAAAATACACAGAATATATAAAAGATCCAAGTGTACTCGTTATAATATTCTGCAGGGAAAACAAAATTCTGCTTACAATTACTTTAGATTCGTTAGTTACGTACACAAAAGCGTGAATTTGTATAAATATCCGTAGTGTAATCACAACACCTATTCAGGAAACATAAAAACAGTGCAAACAACATGCACGCATATCATCATAAAGACCATGACAGCGAGTTATAGAATGCTAAGAACGATAAATATATGATAGCGTGTAATCATTGTTTAGAATTATCGTCGAATGTAGTAGGGAGTGGTGAATTATGCAATAAAGTGTATGTGATTGAATAAGCCACGCCTTGTTTTTTTCAAACAACCATTGCATACGTAATTTAATCTACGTCCAAGTATACTTCCAGTTAACTGATTACATCACAACTAGTGATGGGATCAAGTTCAACATTATGTTAACTTACATACGTATAATTCGAAATAAATTCGATATACAGGGTTCATTTCATAGGTTCTGGATACTCCTCGTGAAGTACAATAATTCGTTCGTTGTAAGTTGCGAAATATTTGATGTTCAGAAGCTGGTTTTGAACTTCAGAATGAGTTGAATGAGTTGAACTTATAAGTATACATTCTAATGAGTCGAAATTCTTACGGATACTAATCGAATCATTGAATATCTCGTTGAACTCCTATAACAAATAGAAGAAAACTATATAGAATTGTAGGCAGTGAACATGACAAGGATTCCTATAAATTTTACTTTGGTATTTGCACTTACAACTAGACTGCGAATGTTTATTCATATTTTATAGAAATACAAAAGAGAAGGAACTTAAGCAGAAATATAACGAGTGAATATAACGAGTAAGTACTATGAGTATTTTATATCACACATTACATTTTTGCATCTTTGATCCCTCATAATTAAGAATTCCTCATGATTAAGAATGATAGTCGATAAAAATTAATTCAAGGAAATTGAGAATTTGTATATTTTCTATTTAATTAAATTTCTCTATCTAATTTCTATAGTTTCAAATTTATTCGATCAGTGCTTGATGCAAGAGGCATTTTGCAAGCACTTTTTATTACCCAAAGTATTTATATAGCGTTCGAATCTGTCGCATTTGCATACAAGTGTACTTGAAAGTATTATTTCTTATCTTTTGAAATACTTATATTATTCTTGTTTCAGTTAAAATGACAATGTGAACATACCGAGAATACTCTATTGTTAAAGAAAAGTTTTACCATTTGCTTCATGCATTTATGCTTTTCTTCACTTAATTTAAACTATTTCGTATAAGCCTGTACAATACAATTTTATTTAAAAGTTAAAAAACATAGGAAGCTTCAAGTATTCCAACATATCTTGAAAAATGCAAAGAGTACTGCATTGGACAATTTAATTAATTTAACTAATTTCAATCAGTTAATGATCGAACCTACTTGCAACATACTTGACTCCATCACTACCACTCTTTTTCTAGGAATATTATCACGGCTTTGCCGAAGTATCGTGTGACTATGAATGAGTCTTTACTTCCTCAATGTGAGAGATTCGCTATATCATGGCCTGTACTCTACGTCTCCCACTCTACCTCTCGTGCCTCGTTTCGTCATATAGTCAATGTTATCGGTGTATATAGAGTATATCGGTGAGATGATAGTTGACTCTCAGTTGCGATGGTCGTTGTCGTCGTCAGTCTACGATCGTAACTGTAATTAAAAGGAACTCGAGCAATCGTCGCGATATTCATTGCTAATTGGTGATGCCATGATGTGCGAACAAACGAAGAATTGTCACGCCTGGTTAGATCCTCTGGTCGGCAAGATAATCACGAATCTCGGCAAAAATTTCAATGATATACGATACGAAGTATCCACTCCTAACGACTCCTTCTTCGTGTCGAGTTTATTCTTCGTCAATATCGTCCCTAACTCGACTGCCAACAATGAAGACGAAGAGAAGGAAACATCGAACAGCGTTGTGATAAAGATACCGTCATCGTTGAGCCATTTACGAGAAATGATGAAATTGAACGAACAGTTCCACAACGAGATATTGTTCTACAAAAAGTACGCCAAGTATTACGATCAACTGCCTCGTTGTGTTTATGTTGAACAAGATGACTCTTTTAATTCGGTGATCGTCCTAGAGAATGTAATTACTCAGCGAGGTTACAGCTTGTGCAAATGGAAGAACGATATACCTCTGGTATATACTATAGCTGCGTTTCGAGAAATCGCAAGGTTCCACGCGAGAGCGTACGCGATAAAGAAGAATCATAAGGAAGAATTCTTCGATTTCGTGAACGGTATCCAGGAAGTTAGGTTCTACCCAGGCACCATTATGAGTGATGTATTCAATGAAACTGCGACCAGGTGGCTCGACTACCTTCGAAAGCAAGGCCACGATAAACAATTCTGTGACAAGCTCGAAGCTCGATTAGAGAACGTGTATGAGGATTTGATTCTGAAATTTGTCGAAGTCGAGGAACCTCTCGCCACGCTATGTCATGGCGACTTCACGATAAATAACACGTTGTTCAAAAACGAAAATGATAAACTGAAAACTATGTTTATCGATTTCGCATTAATACGGTATGGATCGCCGATTTTGGATCTGTCTACGTTCGTATGTCTGCATTGCGCGAAGGATATCGACAAAAATATGTTGGACAATGTTTTGAAAGCCTATCATGACTCTTTGATACAGTGTCTTAAGGAGAATGATATGGACTGTGAACAGTATCCATTCGAGGCTTTCTACGAGGATTATAAGAAGAAAGGTCTGTTTGGATTTTTCATTGCCGCGTTTTTCCTACCTATGGTGATGGGAAAGTCTGATAAAGGACTGGAAGATTTCGATCAAATGGACATGTCAGAGTGGATAGAAACGTTGCATCACTTAGGTGGAGATGAAATTAATGAAATTTTGGCGAATATGTTGCTGAAATTAAATGAGTTTGGGTGTCTGGATTATGTGCTGTAAATGATCAGTATTTGTTACACTAGTTACGATCAACAGAATCCACGCTTTTATAAATCAATAAAACCAAACAAATGCAATTTTTATTATTACTAAAACTTTAATCACGAATTTTATAATTGAATATTGGATATTTCATAATTTTATTTTAATATTGGAGTTTTATAATTTTGGACGACTTGTTGAAGAGTCAAATTTTATTGTTTGAAATTTGAAATGTATATAGCAGTTGCAGAATCTATAAATAAGAGCGAAGTTATTGTAAAAAATATCATAGAAATGTAAAATATAAGATATGTTCTTTGTACGAAGCGTATCATTAATTATCCTTCTTTTTTACATTTTTCCTCTCTTTTACATCGTGCAACGAATAATCAGTACGTAAATATTAATTTTCTAATGTTCACTGGCAAAACATATTCGCAGGAGTACTAGGCGATATTTTACGGATGTTAATCAGCGTAATTTCATTATAACTAAAAAATGAAGAGCGATATAATTTATAGATTCCTTATGCGCATTATGTAAAATGTTTGAAATTATACGGAGATAATGTTGATAAAGTTGGAAAGAAATTCGAAAGTGTATATAAATGTTACGAGATATTAATTGCAAGTAAAATTTCAAAATGTTTTATAGAACGTGCCTGATATATTTATAAAAATTTTAGAACATATATAAAGTGTGTTTATAAAAATAATGGTAATACTTTCGCACTGTACATTGTATACTAAAATATTTATAATACACATCTGGTATTTATCGTCCATATGAAACACATAATTACTATCCAATCACTATTATACATATCACACAAACAGCATGAATCGGTACATATGTACGTTTATGTGTATATATTATAACAGTACGTCCTTTCAAAATCTCGTTCTACGTACAATTATCGATCTCTTCAAGATAATCCATCCTTTAAACCAATACAATCAAACATTATACAATTGAAATTTACAAGAACTTAATCCTTCAAAGATTACGCTTTTGATATCTTGTACTGCTCACAGTATATAGCAGAAACCTTCATAATCCACTCTATCACATATATAAAACATCACCGAATAACTACTATATATACTATATATTATAACTGTACATACATGTATCGTTCACTCTGATAAATTCTCATTTTGTGTCAATCCTTTAGAAAATAATCCACCAAATCCGCTATCATTAACGCTAACATTATATACATTTGAAATTATCAAAAACATTAATCCTTCAAATCCTTGTAAAATCCATCTGAAAATAATCGGCAATCCGTGATACGCGCAATTAACGTTTTCCATAATGAACCGGTATCGGAAAATTTGTCGAGAGATAAGCGGCCAGAGCTTTTTTTCATAGGAATACACGGATGGAAAACGGGTGCAACAACGCGGGTAAAAGGCTGGTTTAGAAGAGTGCACGCGTATACCGGGCATCATATAGGTATGCGATGTACATATCCAGCGAAATAAAGCTCGTAGACACGAGGCAGCGGGGACGATGCGCGAAATTATTCTTTCGCCTATATGCAAGTACGGATCTGCCTTTCAAATAGAGGCACTCCGTGACGCGCGGAAAAACTTTGTCATTTCCATATATTTCGCCGAGGACTGACAGCCCTGTCTCTCCCGGGAAATTCACTTACGCTCTAACCTGAATTTTAAGCCCGTTAAATTTTGTTCGTCGTGGCGGTTCCACGCGCGGCCGCGTGTCTTCACGGCCGGAAGAGGAAACGAGGGACTGGAACTTGCGAGGAGAACTTGCAGGAATACTTTTAGCTTGGAAACGGTCCTGAAACACGCGACCTACGGGAGGTTACCTTCGATATCCCAGGAATCGTGGAAAATAAGGAGAATGATTGTTGGATTCGTAGAATGTCGTTAGAGCTGGTTACGTAGCAGATGATTAACGGGTACTAAAAGTGCAGACTGTAGCAGGGAAATTATACAATTTCTCGAAGAAGATTCGTGTAAACTACTGTTCGAACAAATGCATACTGTGCCATTCAGAAATCGGTTGATGTACTTCATAGAGGATACCTTTTTCTATTGGAATGTCGTACCTTTCAGTTAAATGTTTTTCTCAAATTTGTTATCTACAATTTGATATTTATAGCATTAAGTTTGATCCTTAAGCGATCTGGTTTATTGTTATTGTTATTGTATAGCATGTACGCCGTGCGAAATGTTATGGAAAATTCATCCGGTCTTTGTGAAATGTCTCCGAAATCTCTCTTTTATCCAGAAATTTGATTTATTTGAGTTTTATTTATTTTAATGGAAAAGTCGATTAAAGAATAGCTTTTAAATTAAATTCGCGTATCATTAGTTGAGAACTTCTGGTATTAGAGGAATATTTTACGATGCGCAGAATCACTGAAATTACATTTTCCGTATGCAAACTTGATATTTTACGCGTTTCAAACGCTACTAATTAAAGTTTCTATACGGTAGCATGAGAACACACTCTGCATTTAATGATGTATAATTGTCAAGCGGATGTATTGTGTCTTGTAACATGTTTAATCACTGATACAAGAGAGAACGACACGTGTGACATAAGCGTTTTGTTACTTTCGAAAAACAGATATTTGAAGATACGTATGAATAGAAATTATGATGGTTGCGTGATAATGTGAAATATGTCAGCTTATCTATCTTAAAATCTCACAAAGTTCTGTTCTTCTATTTACATTTACGTTACCACACTAATGATCTTTTATTACGTTTACGCATATTCAACGCAAGAAACTACTACATCAATCCATCCGAGTCAAGGTTAGAGCAATAGTAAGTAAGTACTTACACATCAATAATTTATATCTTTCCTTGACTCTCATGTAACACTATTGTCGAATTTCATGAAATGTGACAGAATATTTAATCATATACGAATAATAATGTTACACTTTCGTATCTCAATTTCAATGATAATTGCATGAAATTATTATGTTTACGAAATACGTTTGACAAATTTTAAGGTGTATGGAAGAAGCAATACACGTAGTTAATTTAATTAGACGAAATATGTGACGTTTAAATTTTACGGGAATAACAATTATTTAAATTTCCGGGTTGCTTTGATCTCCAATTAACAATTCTTTGTAGAGGAGTCAAGTAATTTTAAAAACAAATCAATCTTCATATAAATATACAGTGCCGCTTATAATTATTGAAATGAGACACCTTTTATATTTTACTTTTCTGCCGTAATATAAAAGCCAAACAAGAGTTTTTTCATATTTTCAATGCATACGAGTTTTTATTGGAACAATAAACATTGTCTTGATTGTATTATTAATTAGAAATTGTACCACGCTTAAATATACATTTTTCCACAATTGTCCATCGATTTTCGAAGTCGATCGAATAATTACTTTACCTTCCTTAATCAAGATACGTAGATACGACATTTTAATAAAAAAAAAGAGTTTCGTTTAAGTTGTAATTGATAGAAATTATGATAAAATAAAATTTGTTATAAAAATTAATGTAAAAATTTGAGATTCCAACGAAATGAAATCAAAATAGGGAAATAGTGAATTAAATAGGAAAGGGAATTCATGTCGTACTGAAATGTAGACTATCGGAAATCTCGACTTGAAATTCAGATGGAATCCATGTGTCGCTCTCACC